CTAATAGTTGCCTTTATGTTAAAACTATACTTGCAGATCTTCAGGGCAACGAGGCACGCGTCTATGAGCTAGTCGTGCGTCATTTTCTCGCCTGCGTCAGCAAGGATGCCGTCGGCTCGGAGACAATTGTTAATATAGACATTGCCGGAGAGAAGTTCAGCGCCAATGGGCTGGTTATACACGAGCGCAACTATCTGGATGTCTATGTGTATGATAAGTGGAGCGCCAAGCAGATACACAACTATGAGCGGGGCCAGCGCTTTGAGCCCACAGAGATTGTGATGCACGAGGGCGCAACAACGGCACCACCGCTGCTTACCGAAGCGGATCTCATAGCGCTGATGGAGAAGCATGGCATTGGAACAGATGCCACTCATGCGGAGCACATAAATACCATTAAGGAGCGTGGATATATAGGCGTTGTGGACAAGGGCGCCCTGGTGCCGGGCGTCATTGGCATGGGCCTGTACGAAGGCTATGATGCAATGGAGTTGGCTTTGGCCAAGCCGCTGCTGCGTGCTGAATTTGAAGCGGATCTTAAACGCATTTGCCTAGGCGAAAAGGACCCCAAGCTGGTGCTGCGAGAGCAAATAGCTAAATATAAGCAGGCCTATCAACAGATTATGGAAAAAATCACAGCCATGGATGCAAAGATATCGCAACGGATTAATGAAACTCCGGCGGCGGCGGCAACAATAGATGCATCGCAGGAGCAATCGATGAGCATGGTGCGCGAGCTCTTCCAATGTCCCAAATGCGAACTGGCGAGCCTGGCGCTCAAGCCCAAGAAGAATCAGACGAGCTTTTTCATAGGTTGCCTCAATTTTCCCGACTGTAAGAATGTCATTTGGCTGCCAGAGGAGTGCAAGGAGTACAGCGTGCTGGACGAGTGCTGTCCCAGCTGTGGTGAGGGATACCACATGCTCAAGTTTCGCTTAAGCAGCGCCTACTATCGTGGCCTATTTAATGCGCCAAATGGCTGGTACAAGAATTGCTTGCGCTGTGATGAGCTCTTTAGGAGCACCTTCAACATTAATCTTGATCAGGTAAAGCGCGTGGGCGGCATTGCGGGACATGCGCCGGGTTCTGGCGGCGGGCCAGGACCAGGAGGAGGGGGAGGTGGTGGCGGTGGATCTGGTCGTGGTCTAGGAGGAGGTGGCGGCGGTTCTGGTCCACGTGGCCCTCCAGGTGGCGGCGGTGGCAGCTCCTGGGGCACGGCATCCAATTCAGGAACTCAAAAGCCAGCTAAACCGAAGCGCAACAATAAAACCTCACATGAAACAGCCACAGGCCTGCAAAAGGCAACCAAAACCAAGCGCACGACCGCTCCAGCAACAACAGGCGGCATTAGAAACTATTTCACGAGTAGCGGCCAGGACACTGCCAGTCTGGATGGCTTCTTTGACAGCAACGATGGCTTTGACGAGCAACTGCTAGCTGCTGCAGCCATGGCCGAATCAGGTGCCGCTCCAGCTGCACAACTTGATGCAGACATTGCGGCCGCCTTTGCTGCCGACGATGATGCAGATTTTGCGGCGCTTCTGGAAGCCGGCAGCAGCAATTGCCAACCAACAGCTCCGACAACAGATAGCTTAGACACCAGCTTGACGCAATGGATGCGCAAAGCGTACGAGGCCGAAGAACAGCCAATGCTATGGGGCAGGCAGGCCCGTGCTGCTGCCGAGGCGCAGCCAACGGCGAAGCGGCCGCGATTGATTGAAAACATTGCTCCTTCAGATTCTGCTGCAACTGTGGTGCTTTGCAGTGGCTGCCATCAGCCGGCGCGTCAGCAAACTGTGCGTAAGGATGGACCCAACCATGGCAGACTTTACTATAAATGCCCCAAGCCCAATGAGTGCAAATTCTTCCAGTGGGCAGATGAACAGGATCCTACAGCAGGCACCATGACAGAAAGCAATTGGGGTACAAGGGGAGCTGCAGGAGCGCAGATGAGCAGCGCATGGGGTGGCGGCAGTAGCACAACCAGTTGGGGGACACAGGCAGCAGAGCAACAAAACATAGGCAACTCTCGGGAAACAGGAGGATCCGGCCAGCTGGGCGCAGGCAACTCGCAGGAAACGAATTCATGGAGCACAAAAGCAGCTGCTCAGCAAGGCACGGACGGCGCATTGGAAGCCAATGCATGGGGCAGTGGCAGCAACTCCTCTAGTTGGGGCACAAGAAGAGCTTCCCAGCAAGGAGCAGGCAACTCGCAGCAGACCAGTTCATGGGGCACAAACGGAGCTGTCCGGCAAGGAACAGGGAACTCGCAGGAAAATAATTCTTGGAGCGCTGGTAATTCTCAAGAATCCAATAGCAACTATGCCTCAAGTTGGGGTACAAAGCCAGCGGCACAGCAAGGAACTGGCAGTTCCCAGACATCAAATGCCCGCAGCAGCAACAATAACGCCTCTAGTTGGGGCACAAGCGCCGTTACAAGCGCCGTTCAGCCAGCGTGGGGCAGCAACAACAACCTGTCAGCGGCCAGTTCTCGGAGTAATCAACGTGGTGCTGGCACCAAGGTACACTCCAATGGCAGCAGCACTGTGACTATCATGCAACCCGCCCAGCCCGGCGCAATAAATTGCAACTGCGGCAAACCAGCCAAAAGTCTGACCGTGCGCAAAGATGGACCCAATCAAGGACGACCCTTCTATGCGTGTGAAACGCGCGAAAAGTCCTGCGGCTTCTTTCAATGGGGCGATTCGAATGAGCAACCAGGTGAGCATTGCATCCAATTGATGACTACGACCATTTAATACTCTCTATCCAATCAGCAGGCAGTTCGAATGCATCGAGGGGCAACGCCACGACAAGCACGGGCGCCACCGCTCCCGCTGGTAGTCGCACTCGTCGCTGTGGCCTGTGTCGCGCCGAAGGACACACGCGCCAAAAGTGTCCACGCAAAGCCGATTTTGACTACTGATCAAAACATAAAAACAATTACCTCGGGAATTACATTCAATTTAATTTTAAACATTTATTGGAGCAAGCAACAGATATCGGTTATGTATATAGCTGCATAGCGCAAAAAAAATGGATACACACGCACAGTTAAGGTACACATTCTGTATATACTTTATATACGATTTATATAAATCGTAAATTGATCCATACTTAACAAACAAATATTTAAAGCTCTAATTGTTGAAGATCTTGAAAAGAGCAAAGGATTAAATTCGCCATATACTGTTTAACACTCGTGGAACATGCCCTATTTAATTTGTAAATAAAATGCCTAAAATGTTATATCATGATATTAAATTTGACACAAATAAATGTAATCGTTTAATTTACACATAAAAAGTCAATAAATATCTCTGGTAAAAATTATATATAAACAGTGAATGCTAGAAAATTAGAACTTCTAAGAATTGACTTTCGATAAATAATTATTAATTGAATATTCTAAATAGAAATTCAAATTTTCAATTTCATAGGTTTTTAAAAGTTTTTTTACATTTATATTGATATATTTTTTTTTTAATTCTTTTTTAGATTGTATTTAATTTTTTTTGTAATATACTCATAATTGTTTTCCGAATATTGATTTTTTGGAAGTTTTTAATTTGTCCAGTTAGCGAACGTTCTCTGTATTTAATATCAAAAATTTTGTTACTTAACTACAAAGCTGAACATTGAAAATAAAAATCAAAACTATTTTTAAGGTTCATATAAATGTATTATTATATATATTTATATTTGTATATATATAAAAAAATAAAAAAAAATATTTCTGAAATCATATTTAAGACCTTTAGTGCCTGACATGTTTTTGTAAATATTAAACAGTATATAGCTCATTTAAGTACAGTTACTTATTATAAGGTTATGTATACATATAGATTTAGTATATATAATCTGTATATAGGCTTAAAAAACTAATTTTTGTATAGAGAGGCGACCATATATTTGTTTAACATACATACTCGTTTCAGTTATCGTTTTCTAACATCTAGAGCTTGTTTGTTTATTTTTTTAATACATTTTTAACTTGCATTTTGAAGTTAGTTGAAATAAAATTCACAAACTTTTATGAAAATAAAAGCATAAATACATCGAGTGAATAAATAGTTAGATTTACGTTAAGAGCATTTAAGCATCAACTACTTGTGATTATTAGATATTGAAGTAGTTAAAAACGAAAAAAGAAATGCATTTGACAGTTTTAAAAGTATTGGAACACATTAAGAAACAGTTTGACAAGTTTTTGTTAGGATGTGCTCAAAGTTTTTATAGACCCACTGTTCATATATAGTTAAAAAAGTATATCAAGAACAGATTTTTGTATATAGCATAATACATTTAAGTTATAAAAACTTTCCAGAGCAAGGTTTTGAGATGCTTAGTTGAAAATATTGGAACGTTTTAAGTACATATTATTGGTAAACACAGACTTGGGGTTACTTAAGTTAATGGACGAGCACTCAACAGACGAGTAGACTGCGCGCTTTGAGATGCTTGGTTACTGGTATAATTTGCCAAGATTAAAAGGGATTTCATAATAAAAATATATATATACAATGGAAACATATACATATATATTATTTTCGGGCATGTTTTGGTTCTCATATTACTAAAATTCTTTATATAGACAATTTCGAAGAGAATTTTTAAAGACAATCTTTTTTTTATTTTTTAACTTTGGCTTTACGTTTTGCGTTTAAAAAGTATTTTTGAAACAAAATTCCCAATTATGATTCCAGCATATGATATATAAATATTGTCATGAATTATGTAAATAAAATTAATTATTAAATTTATATAAGCTTTAGGAAGAACTGATTCGACATAGACTTTTTTTCGATTTTTTCTGCTCTCCGTTTCTATGCTTTTCTTAATCTCTAATTTTTGAAGATATGTTAATAAAACTTGTTTTTGAAATGATAATAATTATTATTTATATTGTCAGAGTCTAAACAAAAATCTCTTAAAGGTTTTTCATTCCGCATTGTTAAGAAGGGACATTCTTGAAATTAAGTCGTTTTTTTTTCAATATTTGTAGATATTTTAAAGTTATCTCTTTGTCTGTTATATGGAATACTGGAATGAAACACGCAGTTTTATAATTACATACAATTAAAAATTGTACTGAACGGACTGATATCCTTTAACTAAATTTGGACTTTTAAATATAACATATCTAATCACTCTCATAGTCTCTCAAAATGGAACAAAACACAAAATCGACAGAACGAAAAGCTAAGCGAATTTTCAAATGTAAATGGAAAGAATTTTAATTTAAAATTATCCTCGCTATTAATTAATTCATTATTCAAGTCGCACGCGTGAAATACTGGAATGGAACGCACGGAACGGAACAACGAAAACCGAAACAAGCCATGGGAATTGATTGGGTAAGTTGAATAACTAGTTTTTGGGCAAATTATACCATATTTTGAGCTGCAATTGGAATGTTATTTTTGGGCTTTATATTTCGACCTCTGGCGTGAATTTGCGTCAGAAGTAAATCTCCTCCTCCTCGGGCCTTGCGCGTGGAGCCTGCCCGGAATTGGCCAAAGGAGTAGCTGTGGCGCGCGCTGCTGATACATGCGCATTGCGGCTGCTCGTGGGCGTTTGCCCCAGACGCTGCTGCTGCTGTGCGGCTGCGGAATGCCCTGCGTAGTGACCAGCCGTATTTGGCGCGGCGACGGCGACAGGCGTTGTGGCTTGTTGTATGATGGCCGGTGAGCTACCGGTGCGCGCATGTTGCGGCGTGGGCGTGGCCATTTGACGCTGCTTATCGGCCAGTTTGAGTGGAAACAATTGCTGAACCCCGCCGCTGGCACTAGAGGCAGCAGCTGGCGAGGCGACAGCTCCACTATTGGAGCTATTGTTGAAGCTGGCGGATTTGTCCACACGCGTACCGGAGGACAATGAGGACAGCTTCATGGGCAGCTTTTGTTTGACCAGCGTTGAGTTCGCCTTGGGTGCATTGTTGGCGCTAAGCAAATGAACCGGCGGAGTTTTGCAATTAGAGCTGCCGCTGAGCCACTTCTCCTTGCGTCGATCAATTGTGGAGGCAGTTAATGTGCCGCCCATTGATCCGGTGGGCGTGTCCAGCTCGTGTGCATCCTCGGGCACTGCGACGGGCGCCACCGCTGGCGATAGCGTTGGCAGCGGCGTGCTGGGCGATAGCAACAGACCCTGACTGGACAGGAGCTCCATTTTGCGATACAGCTGCTCGCGCTGCTGACGCACATCCTCCTGTTCGGCCTTGATCTGCTGCTGCAGTTGCAGCTGCTGGGCACGCATTTCGACCAGTTCGTCCATTTGCTGTTGCCTTTGTCGCAGCCAGGCGGTCTTCTCCTCCTGCAGTTTATCCTGCAAATTTCGCAGCTCCTCCAGCTGATCCTTGTGCGTATATGCAGAGGCGCCGCTACCACCACCACCACTGCTACCGCCGCCGCCACCACCACCGCCGCTGCTATTCCGCGGCGATTCGCGATACAGGGCCAGCTGCAGTTGCAGACTCTGTATGCAGGTCATCTGCTGCGAGATGATGCAGAGGAGCGTGTGCAGATGATGCGAGACCTGCAGCACCGCATAGTTATGCTCCTTGCTGTTGGCGGGCAGCGTGCTTGCATGCAGCTGCAATTGCAGCTGTGGCGGTGGCGGTGGCGTCTCTGTGGGCGTTTGCGTTTTCAGCTCACGCTTCTCCTCCAGCTCCTGCAGTCGCGGCGTTAGTTTGGCATCGCGGCCCAGCTTGCCACGCTTCTCATCAAAACCGGCAAAAGTTTCGGCGCGCTTTGGCAGCGTGGGTGAGGCATAGAGCACGCTCTGTTTCTCACCCACGCTGCTAACGGTGCGCGAGACGGGTAGGCCCGTGGCGGCGCTATAAATGCTCGCCGCCAGCTGGCTTATATCCTGCACGGTGTTGAGCACGCGACGCCAGAGCTCCGTGGTGTCGCAGTCTGTGCTGACCAGCTCCTTGTAGGACCCAAAGGCGGCCAGAAAATTGGCTGCACTTCCATTCATATTGGCCGTATTTAGATCCCCAAACGGTTGCTGTTGCTTCAGCAGATTGAACTGAAGCAACAGCTTCTCCTCTAGCAGCAGCGCCTGTTCGATGTCCTTTTGACGCATCTTCTCAATGGTCTCGCGTTTGTTGACGCCAATGCGCAGCTTCTCCTCGGCGGTGAGAGCCTCCGCTTCAATAACATCCGTGGCGGGACAATCGAGCACCGCTTGCCGGATGCTCTGTATCCAGGTTTGTTTATCCTTTGGCGTTTGCACCTTGAGCTCATACATTTCGGGAAAATCGGGATTGGAGCTGATTATGTAAATACCGCGCGATTCGGTGCCAGCTTTCTCGCGTATCAATAACTTCTGTAGCGGCACCACGCCCGCCTTGTGCTCCGGCGTAAAGAATGCGTATTTGTTATGCGCCGAATTTTCGCTGAGAAAGCACAGGCAGTCCGTAAGGACCACAACCAAGACCAGTTGGGTCTTGGCGCGACCCTGCATCAGCGTGGCCAGCCCATCGAACTTTAGGCGACGTCGCGACTCCACGCCCAGTTCGGTTTTGCGAAAGGGTTTATTTTTATATATAGCAAAAGATTTGGCATCGACGCGACCATAAATCTCCAGCTGTCGTTCACGCAGCTCTTTCTCCGCCACACAAGCATCCACATCGACCAGTAGCGATTTAACTAGATTCAAGGCATGCTGCAACTTGTCCGTCTCCAGCTTATTATCCCGTGCGCTCTTGAGCAGCGGTTCGATCAGCAACGGATATTTGGTCAGACGCTGTGTCACAAACAATATGCACTCCGGTATGCCCTTCTTTTTGAGCAACGGATTCTGCAGGCAATGCTTATACCATTCGGCAAAACTGGGCTCCGACAGGCACTGCTTGAACTGTTCGAGGGCGGTGCGATGATTGGCACAAAATTCGCCATAGGCCAAGCGCAGGCATTGAGCCTGTTCCAGCGAGAAGAACTCAAGCAGTATGTCCGCAATGCTGTCCACCAGTAGATGTTCGCGCTGTTTCTGGCGCAGCTGGCGTAAAAAGCAAGTGTGCAACTCGGTCAACTGCTGCAGGCGGGGGAACATGCTGTGCGTATTGAGTGCCGGAAAATGCCGCTCTAGACTCTCCACAAAGACTTTGCGCATTACAATCAGCGTCTGGCAGTGATGCTTCTCGGTCATAATGAATTCGTAGATATGCTCCTGACGCTTGATTTGTAGCTCTTTAAGCGTTTTCAGCTGCTCCTTGGGCACATTGGGCGTCCAGGAGTCGGGTTCCTGCAGCACAATGCCTAAAGCTGGATCGGCGCCCAAATCCTGCGCCTCAATGGGCGGCTCATTGAGAAACTGCAGCTCGGCGGCGCGTATGAGCGGCTGTTGATCCTCCTGCTCTAGCAGATGCTGTTGTTGATGCTGTTGCAGCGCCTCAGAGCCATCGCAGTAGTCCTGACCCGATGTCAGTTTCTTGCGTTCGAGATGCGCATCCATGTCGTTCAGTTGGACACCACCCACTAACGACTTCGTCTTGGCCTTGGGCTTCTTTTTGCGAAAGAACAGGGAGCCGCGCTTGGGTCGCTTCTCTACGTGATCATAGACCTCGATCTTGGCATGCGAACGTAACAGACTCTGATTCTCATCTTCGCTATCTGTGAGATGGCGCGATATGGCCTTGATGTCCTCCTTGGCAATAATCGACGACGTCGAGATGCTTTTCTGCAACGGTATCCGGCTGATTATTTCCGTGGCCAGACTCCTCTTTGCGGCAATTCGCTCAAAATCTCGGGCCAGCTCCGCCTCGTTCAGCGAGTGCGTTGAAATGCCTGCCGGGAAAACGGAAAATGGAAAATAGTGGGAAAAGGCAAATGAAAATCAAGTTAAATAATTTACTAAGGTATGCGCGACTTATTCTTAGACTTCGTTACGGGGCACTGATAGATAACACGCCCCGCGCGGTTCTTGTGGAATTTCTTATCGTAATCGAAACTATCCCTACTAAAAACCTCGACTATTGCGGCATATTAGTTCATATGAAGCGTTTGCTTCGTGTGAAAACCTTGAGATTACAAGCATATCAGCAATGTCAATATGTGTCTATACGCTGCCTATGTACTGCCTAAAAAAAGACGGCTTTTTGAAAAGTTTAAACTAAAAGACAGATTAAATCTAACAATGTAAACATATTTATTTCTTCATGGCGTGTCTCTGACATTTTATAAATTTGTATGCAATTTTTACGTTTTTATCCAATTAATTTTGAACCTTCTTTGAGAGCAAATTAAAATCTATCGGTACTAACGGAAAAGGGGTGGAAAGCTGGCTGATGACATTATTGGTATTATTCTCTATAATCCCAGCTGGTTAATGATCAAATTCAAAAAGATAAGTCACTCGATTTTGCTGGCCATAGAAAATACCTGTCCATTGGGATCATCAGACGACCTTCAACAGATGACGCATCTATAACGCATATGCCAGTCGCTTTTTTCCTACTTATATTGTATTCAGTTTTATGGCACCAGAAAACCAACCCACACGGAACCAATTATAGAAATACCTTTGTCACCCAGTATCATCCGGCATTGCTCGTTCAATGCAATTTTTTATACCTTTTCCGTCCATTTTCAGCTTGTGGATTGGACATTCGATTAAAACCCCGTTTTCCACCCCTCGGTGGATTTCTTCGAAATACTTGAAAATTAATTTAAAGCGGATAAGATGAAGAGCATAAGTGATGCATACAATAATTTTCCTATAAACTGTCTTAATGTCCACTTACAAAAAGAAACTATCGTGCACAAAAAAAATGGTCAGTGAGTCAATCAATCAATCAGTCAGAATTAAAGTCTGAAAGTCTGAAGATGGGCCCTCCCAGCCAATGCAATTACTCACCACCCGTGCTGTTGCGCGCTGAGCGCCGACGCTGTTCGGTGACACGAATGGTTTCCTGCTCCTCGCTGTCAAGACTGGAGAGGCTGACGCTCTTGTTGGTGCAATCGCCCGTGGCATTGGCATCGTCCACGGCCGTCCAAGACTTGCGGCGATCCGTGTGCAGTAGCAGGCATTGTTGTGGTGCCGCTGACCACATGACACCTACATTGCTGCCGCCACCGGCGCAAGCGCCCACATTAGTGAGATCGGGCAGCGATGCGCTAAGTATGGCCGCATTGAGCAATCCATAATTGTTGGCCAGACTATCTTGTTGATGCTGGCTGGAGGAGTTTTTCATTTGTTGCACCGTTTCACGTATGTTTTGCAGTTGGCTCAGAGTGTCCTCAAATATGTTATTGTACTTAGAGGCCGACGCAGGGCTGTGGGGTGTCACATTGATAGTGGGTATCATGTTGTTGTTGTTGGGCTGGTGGTGCGAATTGTTGCTATTGCTGTTGTTGTTGTTATTAATACAGGGCAGGGCAGCTGCCGCAGGTGCATTGATAACGGGTATACAATAATTTTGGCTTTCCACGGTAACGCGCGGGGCAGGGCTCAATATTTTGGCTGTGGCACCATTTGTAATGGGAGTGAGTGGTACCGGTGGAGGCGCAGACACGTCGGCGACGCCGTTACTGTTGCAATTGGAATTTAGAAAATCGGTGACCACATCATTATCGCTGTCATTGTCGTCGGCGGTGCTGCTGCTGGCGGCGGTGGTGGCAGCGGCGTTGGAGGCGACTGTAGCATTGTGCGTATTTTCCATAATATGAAGTTATAGTTTTGGTATTTTTTATTTTTGGTATTTTTTGACTGCTTTGCTTGTGGCTATTCGTAGAAAAAGAAAGTTTAGTACGCAACACCTACAACTGCTCACACACAGACGCATATCTACACGCACACACTAACAAGGTATGCAGTTCTTGTTTTTTCGACTATTATTGATTTTCCCACGCACACACACATACCGACTCACCCGCCTTGTTGCGCGTTCTAATTGTTGCGCCTTCACCAGCAAGGACGAGCACAACGTAAACAGCGTCCCAGCAACGTCCTTGTACACAAATAACGAAACAAGTGGAACAAACAACAACAAAAAACAGCAGTGCACAGTAAGCGTAGACGCAGGTGAAATATTTTAAGCTGGCAAACACACACAGCAATTGAGCAAACCGATTAGAGTTTGCTTTTAATATTCAAAATTAAAAGAAGCTAAAAGTTAATGAGATTTGCATTAAACACTATTTGAGACACATATTTCTGCCTGTATCGAATCGCTTGGAATAGGTTCGCTCAAACGACTCGTTAAACTAAATGAACTAGATGAAACGAACTAGTGCCAAATGGCTGTTCAACTAGTTCGATGCAGCTGGAATTTAACATATTGCTGATCTGTTATTAAAAAATTACGCTTTTTGCATACCTTTTGTCAAAATATCAATATTAATATAGCAAAATTAAACATTTATTTCTACAAGCACCAATTGCTCATTTTATAAAGCCAAAATCATGCAACTAAAGTAATACATTTATTTATGAAGCTTGAATTTGAATTTTGCAGCTGCTGAATTGACATTAACAGAAAAAATACCAGACTACAAATGTTATTGAACTATACAACATTCGAGCCTTGCGCAACACTGAACGGGCGACGATTGCAAGCTAGAGGAGGCAATAAGAATAGAGAATATATTTTTTTAGCTAGTTTATAAATTGGCAAATTTTTAGTTATAACTACATTTAGTGCATATCATTTAGGCTTCAAACCCACATCCAGCCATGCAGGTAAGTCTGACGCCACACTGCAGCAGAAACAGCGAGTACTTAATGCAATGAGCTGCTAGTTGCCGATAGCGAAACGTTGGCAAAAGAGACACGCAATCAATTGTTTCTCATCGCATTTGTTTATGTTCTCTTTTTATTTTTTGTAGTGGACGGTGATGTTGGCGCTGCTTGCCAGTAGCAGCGTTGTCGTCATTGTCGATTGCTTTTATGTGCCCGGTGTGGCGCCCGTTGAGTTTGTGCGTGGCCAAAAAATCGATGTGAAAGCGGTAAAAATGACCAGCAGCCGGACACAGCTGCCGTATCAGTATTATTCCCTTCGCTTCTGTTATCCTAAGAATGGCACACTCATTTTCAAGTCGGAGAATCTTGGAGAGGTGCTGCGTGGCGATCGCATTGTCAATACACCGTACGAGGTCCAAATGGCAGAGAACATCAATTGCAAGCTGTTGTGCAATAAGAAGGATTTGCCCATGACCTGGAGCAAAGAGGATTCGGCCATGGTCGCTGAGCGCATACAACACGAGTATTTTGTGCACTTGCTGGTGGACAATTTACCGGTGGCTACGCGAATTGTCAATGTCAATAATCCCGCCGAAGTTAACTATGAGCATGGTTACAGATTGGGCCAAGTCGATGGCGATAAAATGTACATCAACAATCATCTTAAATTTATACTCTCCTATCACATGTACACTAAGGATAAATATCGCGTCGTTGGCTTTGAGGTGATAACTGGTTCTGTAAGCAACAAGGAGATCAAGTTTGAAGGCGATAGCTGCAATTTTCCGGATAGCCCAAGTCCACAGGTGGTTAATCCTTCGGGCGAAACTCAGCTGTATTTCACGTACTCTGTCGTATGGAAGGAGTCCAAGGTTAGCTGGGCCTCACGCTGGGATATTTATTTGGGCATGCGTGATGTGCAGATCCATTGGTTTAGCATTATCAATTCGCTGGTCGTGGTCTTCTTTTTGTCGGGCATACTCACCATGATTATGATACGCACATTGAGGCGTGACATTGCTCGATATAATACGGATGATAACATCGAGGATACTCTGGAGGAGACCGGCTGGAAACTGGTGCATGGCGACGTCTTTCGTCCGCCCAAAAATACGCGCCTCTTTTCTGCTATAATTGGCAGTGGCATTCAAATTTTTTTCATGTCCATGATCACCATATTCTTTGCCATGCTGGGCATGCTCTCGCCCTCCTCACGCGGCGCTCTAATGACCTCAGGCATTTTTATGTATGTCTTTATGGGCACCATTGCAGGCTACTATGCTGCGCGACTCTACAAGACGATGAAGGGGCGTGAGTGGAAGCGCGCCGCCTTCCTAACAGCCACTCTCTATCCGGGCATTGTCTTCGGGTGAGTTTGGCGCTTCATTGTAATTGAAAATGTTTTTTTATTTATTCTCTCAATTTCCATTACAGCACTGGCTTCATTTTGAACTTCTTCATTTGGGACAAGTCCTCGAGTGGCGCTGTGCCTTTTACCACAATGATATCGCTGCTATTGCTATGGTTCGGCATATCAGTGCCTCTGGTATACCTGGGCTTCTACCTGGGCTATCGCAAGCAGCCGTATCAGCATCCAGTGCGCACCAACATGATACCACGTCAGGTGCCCGCTCAGCACTGGTACATGAATGCCGCTTTGAGGTGGGTTAGCTGATCCTTAATTAGCTGCAGCGATGCTTAACCACTCTCTTTCGTTCCACAGCACCCTTATGGCTGGCATATTGCCATTTGGCGCCGTTTTTATTGAGCTTTTCTTTGTCTTTACAGCCATTTGGCAAAATCAGTTTTATTATTTGTTTGGATTTCTGTTTTTAGTGTTTTGTATTCTGGTTGTTAGCTGCGGCCAAATATCAATTGTCATGACCTATTTTCAGCTGTGCGGCGAGGTAATGCTATATACAATACTTTATTAAAATCATGTTTAGTTAACGCTTAATCTATGCAGGATTATCGCTGGTGGTGGCGCAGCTTTATCGTATCCGGTGGCTCGGCTGTGTATGTGCTATTCTATAGCATATTTTACTTCTTTACCAAGCTGGAGATTACAGAATTTATACCCACGCTACTTTACTTGGGCTACACAGGTGCGTGATGTAGATGGACAACTAAAAGTCATGTGTAAATAATATATACTCCTTTTTAGGTCTCATGGTGCTAACATTCTGGCTGTTGACCGGCTCCATCGGCTTCTTTGCTGCCTATATATTCATATTGAAAATCTACGGTGCCGTAAAAATTGATTAAGACCTAAGAGACATCACACTGGCACACTATGCTGTACACCAAACTATCCCTGCAATATCATTTGATCGTAATACTTATTGCCTATAATATAAATATTTATATATATATATGAAAGAACACCTAGCAGTCTGCAAAAGGCCATGTGTAAAATCTTGTTTAAGCTATTTAGCTCTCAACTCTTAACTAAGTCTGCTATAAGTTTCCTTTTTGCCTGCTGATGCGCTTTAATTACCGACAAAACACCGATTGAGAAACTTAATTAAGAGTTTAGTTGGGCGTCGCTCAAATTTCGAGTGCATTGCGTAGGGTACATTATAGAAACGCCTAATTTATATATGTATTGTAAAAAAAAAACGATAACCTAATCTAAGCTTTAACATAAAAACATGAAATCTAATAAATCTAAGCTAAGTATAGTTTGCGACCAAGTGATTAAAGTAAATTTATCTTACTACGATTGTTGAGCTAAGTGCTGCGAATAAGCATTAATATTAAGGGAATTTTAAAGCGCTGGTTAATATTTGTTTATGTGCTATTGATTTTAGCGTAACAGTGCATTTTTATACTCGGCTGTTTAACATTATCATAACAGCATAGATTTTAATAGCAGCTGTACTAACTGGGACGCCAAAGCGCTTATAACTTGGGATCTCACGATCTACGGTACATTTGTGGATTTTTTCATTTGTAGTTGAGCAGGTATTGTTTATTGTCAATTTAGTTTTCGGGTTTTTAAGAAGAGCGCAATGCCAGAAGTCGAGTAATGAATTTTTGTTGATTTTTATTCAATTATCCTTTAGAATTGGGACACCTTTACAAAGTACTTTTAAATGGAAAATTATGCAGATTTTCTAGGCGAGATTTTACTTTTTTTTTTTACTATTGTTAAAGTGATGTCAACAGCTGCAAATTAACAATAACATTTACATGTGAAATGTTGCACATTAGTCAGTTTAGAAAATGTGAAGCTATAATCAAAAGTTGTGGTGCCAGATGTGCAGTTGTTATAGATTGTTTTCCAAGAACTGGGCCTTTCTGTTCAGATATATACGAGCTTTGCGCAGCATTTTTTAACAGTTACATTGAACAGCCTGAGTAGGTTTGGCTAGCTATTTAATTTGTAATATCTATTAAGAGCTGTCCATATAATGTTGAAACTGATTATGCTATTTTTCCTGACACTTGTCGGCTTTCAACTTGTAATGGGCGTTCGATTTTTCGATGATTATTATAAAGTAAGTCGTGATTTATTTGAATGGGTTCATAATTTCATCAAAACAATAATATTTTGATTTACAGTCACGTGATGTTTCAGATAAAAAACGTATCTTGGGAAATATCACTCATACGATGTATAATTTTATGGAAGCTGGAATTCCTTCCTGGTTGCCCACGGACGATAAACATGATAATTGAATGCATAAAAATGTATATATACATTTTTTTTTTTTTAATTTTGAATTATCAACTATAACTATGAAAACTGACATAGAACAAACTAATTGTTAATTTATTTAGCTTGTTTTTTTTTTTTTTAGTATTTTACACAAAGACGATTTTAAAACTAAGCTGTAAAGTATCTATAAATCGTTTCGTATACACATAACCACATTGACTGCAGCCTAGATACACTACATATGCGAGCCTAATGCTCATTTAGTTTAGTTAATGCACAATTTAATATGTATTTTAAGTATTTTTCATTTAGTTTATCATTTAATTAGCTTGGACACGACACGAACCCATTCAATGTGAGCGATTAATATAGTTTTGCATATATTGCATGTAGCACTAGGTTTACAAATTTTTTTTAATTTTTTTTTTTTTTTTGTATGGATCTTATTATTGCGCTAGTTGATTTGTTACTTAAGATTTACACTAATCCAAAATAGCTGACAGTGTTCCTAATGTTTATGTGCTGCTGCTGTGCCTTTCGAAAACTCTTTAGGTTCTCAGTCAAATGTTTTGCGAATCGGTTTACCTCAACGGGTTCCGATTCTTTAAACGCTAGCGATTCCGTTTGGTCTTGCGACTCACATTTCCCTCGATGATGATCTAAATAGATAAAGAATCATAGATTTAATCAATATTTTACATAAGATAAAAATCACGAACAAATTGCTCGACATTTTCTTGTACTACTTTGCCAGGTGGTAGCTGCAAATTATAAGGACACTTGAATTGCTGCGGGCGTGATTTTAGTTTTAGCTTAAATATAATATCACTTTGCGTTATATATAAATGTATATTAATACCTGTAGTATCTGGCTGGCCTCGAAACAGGTGCCAGGTAGCAGTATGACTGGTGAGCTGACATTGCCAGCTTCTACGCACAACATATTGGGGAATTCGTCGTCGCCAAAGTCGCTCATCTCACGGGATCGATCAATCCAGGGATTCCAAATAACTGAAAATGAGCAGAAAATATGAAAATACGTCCAAGATTATTAGCTACCATAGCTATGGCGCGCTGTAACAAGCTATTATTGAGATGAGCGCATAACAGTTTACTCCAAATTTAACAGCTGCAATCAAAAGAGGTGATCTGTTAACTAACTAAGGTTAAATTAACATTGTCACCTTAACAGAGACTGTTAGCGAGCAGCGACTGTTTAAGAACTGTTTTAGGTAAATTTCAAATTGTTGGCATAAAAAAAAAACATAAGTTGCGAAACTCTTACAGAGCAAAAAAGATGGTTTTCAAGCAAATACAATTAAATGACAATCGTAATAAAACCAACATTTTTTTTTGACCTTTTAGATTGTTAAATTGGTAAGCTTTTAAAGAACTTGTATGTTATGTTAAGCAAATGACTAACATTAATTACGTCATTTTAACAGAGGCTGTTCTAAACTCACCCGTATCTGGAAAATTGTATTTGTGTAGCCTCATCTTACGGCCGGATACCACATTGGTAATCACATGTTCCTGCGGCGTGTGCTGATAGATTCGATCTGTCCACTCATTGACGGTGACTACCTCGCGACCCTCCTGAAGGTAAGCACAAAGTTTCAATTTATAGTTATCTTAAGATACTTCTAACTATACCTGATACAAAGCACCCTCTCGTGTCTTGTCTATAAAATGACAGCCCTGCAAGCCAGTTATTTGGCAGCGTCGGACATCTGGCACCTTAAGATAGGTATGGAGCAGCATGTTAAATGTAAAGCTCAGATCTTTGCTAGGATTATAGACGCCAATGTGAAAGTGTAGCTCCTTCTCGCGCAGTATCAGGCGATAGGTGATGCGAAATCTTTAAATTGTATGCACATGCATTATGTTGTATTGATAGAGCCATGATATACCCACTGATAGTTCCATATTGAGCGCGTAAATTCGTTGTCCATTAGCGAAAAAATTGCCTCCACATCGCCATTGTGCAAGCGTTCAGGTGCGCGATCTAAATGCCAGCGTGTGATTCTGGCAAAGCCATGCTGTGGTCCAAAGGACCAGGCTCCAAATTGAGCTGCAAATTAGGGCGGATTGGGTTAGAGTCATGTGATGCATGTGGGAATCTGTGCTTACGAAATACAAAGGGTATGCCACCACGTATCGCCTTTTTGCCATCAAACGAGGCCAGCTTACTGCAAGTGCATGAAACAAATTTTGTATATTAAATATTTCTGTTTTCTTCATTTAGTTTAAATATTGAGATACTTTCATTGTCTAGCTAAACAAAATAAACTTAAATTAAATCTAAATGAAGCAGGTTGCCGAATCGTAACATTAAAAATTAAAAAGGGATTTAATAAACCCTAATGAAACAAGGACTTCAAAAATTTTTACACGCTCAAAATCATTTTATAATTCATAACTAATTATTTAATCACTTTGCTAAATTTCCAAGTGATGCAAATTTTAAATCATAAGGAACTAAATTAAAAGCAACGGGTTTTATCTGCAAGAAGGAAAGAACGAAAAGATTGCTAGTAATTTGGGCTGGGAGTTTCGGAGATTTCGAGCTTTTGAGCTGACAAAATATCTTTCAAGAGTTGACGAACCCGTTGCATAAAAACCAGCGTAGACATTCAGAAATTTCTGAATCTTCAGTTCGAGATGGGGATGGACGAAAAAAAGTGTCTGGCAATTGGCGTTTGGCTGGCTGCTTTTTGCTGAATGATTCGGTTGGTTCGCATTTTAGTTTTTTGCGTGCGCTAATTTGCCGACGCATCCATCAACGGGGGCCCCCCTTTTGGCACTCTGCCCTCTTCTCAGAGACTCAGAGACTGGGCAATTGTGTCATTAATATTGTCAGGTTGTAGCTGTGCAATGGGATCAGTTTTGTGCTGCATTTTGTGGAATCTATCCAAGTGGTATTTATTGTGGCAGCTCTTTAGGCATTAGCTGGAGCTGCCGCCTGCTCTGATTTTCTGTTTTAGTTTCTGGTTCGGTTTTTGGCCCTTCCTCCGGCCACAGTTGTTGCCCCACGTACAGCTCCTTTTGGCTCACACGCAAAAAATTTGTCCCTGCTTTTTGCCACAAGACTCAACTTCAACTCAACCAGCAGCGGTTTTTGTGCTGCAATTTTCAGAGTTCTTCGTCGCTGTTGCACGGTTTCCAAACGCCAACGAACAAAAAAGAATTATTTGAATATAAAAAAAACATTTAAGAAAACAGGCGACGCAATGTGTAACGAACATTCGGACAAACAGGCGAAGCACAACTAAGCAAAAAAATTCATTATAACAAAAAACTTTATAATATTATTGCCATACGGAGTTATACCCTACGAACTATATTAATTATACACATTTTGTATGTATGTCCTTAAATTCTTAAAAATATTTTTGCAATGCTTTTAAGCATTAAAAATTTTCTTAAAGCCTAAAAGGAACAGAAATAAACTATAACCTATGGGAGAAAATAGCTTTCAAGACCCTGGTAATAGGCTGCAATTTAAATGTGTAAGGAACTTCCATTTTAATAAAAGCTTTAAATTGCAAAATTTTAAAAGCTTATGCTATCATAAAAAACCTTTACCAAACAATGTGAACACAAAGATATTGCACTTAAGACACTAATTTAATTTAATTGTCAAATTTGTGCCTGAAAGCTTTCAAGCTTAAGATTTCTAAAATACAAACATTGGAATACATTTGCAATCGAAGATACTAAATCTTTATAACGGGGTTAAAAATCAAATTTAACGCTGTTGCTAACAGCAAAGACGCCGTATTCACTAAAATGTATAACGATTTTGTGCCACTGTGCAAGCAATGCACAGTGTACATGGCACATCATGTAGTCGTAGTCGGGATTTATCGATCTAGATGCCGCGCCAAAAAACTTCATTCATAAAAACCAGCGCATTGTTTTCGTTGTTGTTGTTCTTTGTCTTTGCGTTGTCGTTGGTTAGAGCAGGAAGCCTAGCTAGCAAGAGAGAGCGGCCCTCAAAGCTGCCCAGTCCGCAGGCCTGTTTTGTGCATGTGCAGCACGCTCTCTCCAACAAGCTCTCGCTCACTCTCGTTCTCTCTGGCGCTGGCCTCTCTTTGGCTGAGTGCGCGTTTTTTATGCGTCTCTTTTTGGTTCGCTGGTTCGCCGTGTTTTTGTTGCTGTGTCATACAAAAACATTTTGCCGCCAAACGGAATGGCTAAGGCTACCTAGCCCCCCCACCCGTGCTCCCGCTCAGACCACCTCCTGTTTATACTGCAGGGCATCCTTTGTGGCCAGCTAACGTCCAAGTGTGCATGTGCGTGTCCGTGTAGGTGTTTGTGCTTCTGTGTTTGTATGTATGTGTTCGTCTGTTGAAAACTTTTGCCCAACACTTTTTTGGTTGCACACCGTTAGTTACGGTGGACTTGCGTAAGTTGCTTCAACTTCAAACGGCTGCCCGTGCGCTTTGCGCTTAAAGCGCGTGGTTCCCTCCGCCAATGCGGCGTATGCGTTATATTTAAAAACTTACCTGACAAACAACTGTTCCTGATTATTTACACGCCAAGACACAACTGTGGCGCCTGTAAAAAAATAGAATAAAAACAAACAAATTTTTTTTACAATAGGAGTCCACAAATTGATTTGCGTTAATATTGGATATATCAATAGAAAAGATTAATAATAAAAGTTACTTTAGTGTGCTGAAAATAAAAAAAAATATATGCCAACTTTTGATAAAAGTATATTTATTTTAACCACACAAAGATAATTTCATAGGCTTACAGGTTGAATTGTTTCTGCTATTTATAACGCAGACTAATGCAAGTAAATATATCTTAATGTCGACATGTAAAGTTTTTAAACTGTTACATTAGCAGTGTCACTTAATCATTTGCAAGATCCTTTTTTTTGCGTATATTGTTAACGTAACATATGTATTAAAAGCGTTTTTAACATTTTGCTATATGTTGTACTTGTGTTAAATTTCCATTAACGATACATTATTAAATTAAAGACTGAATTGAAATATTGTCATCCATGATGCATACACAGACACACACACACACACATATATATATATATATATATATATAAACACAAGCACACATGCAAATCTAACCCACATAGACAGAGAAAAGTCTAAGTAAACCGGCTAAAAGTGAGGAGAATGAGCAATAGACTGACTCCCAGTTCCAATGGCCATTCGTCTATTGGGTGGGAGCACCACAGCTGCGTGTGGGTGTTTATGTGTGATTGTGTGTGTACGACTGGGCCTGTTTTTGGCCGCAAGCAGCGTTTACAATTAGAGTTTTGCGCATAGGCCTAACTGAAAATTTAAATTTTCGAAAAAGTAAATATAGTGTAAGCCAAGCGGAAATCAAAAAGACTAGCCAAAGTTTAAGGTTTGACTTGAGCAAAGCGCACACAAGACTTGCCAGAGTTGGATCGCATTTTGTGGTGGCAAATGTGTCTGGCTGTGGCTCAAACCACGTCAAAAACACAACGTGGGCAGGGCGAACGAGTCGTAATTGTTGAAAGTGCGCTCTGTACACATAAATATGTATATGTGTGTATACGTTGTATATATATCTATATATATATAACGCCTAATCGAAATGTGTCGTGAGTAGGGGCCGTACACAGACACAGACACAGACGATCTCTCAGCGAGCCGCTTTCTGTCTAGCTGCGCATATCCCCAAGGGAGAGAGATAGAGAGCATAGCTAGATCATTTGGACAATGCTGATAAGATACTACGACAATTACTTAAACGGGCTACGCAGTCGATTTGGAATGAGAACAAAACAAAGTTAGCATACTATAAGTAAGTTAACTTATTGTTGTACACAGAAAACAAATGCTATTATTTGTAACCTCTACTCTAAAGCTGATAGCTAACTAAGATTGGCAGTCGCTAGTATTTGAACTTAGCCCACTTTTAAAAAGCAATTTTCAGTGAAAAACTAGCAAAGTGTTCTTGAAATAAGTTCATAGATTTTTTTTTTACGTTGATCTTCGATCCATATTTTAAGTGTGAATTGTTGTGATTTCCAAATTTGTTTACTTTAATTCGAGTTCAATTGAACTTAACTTTGACCCATTATTTTTCCCGCTGTGTATTATCTCTGATAACCTCAATGGGTTGCATAAATTGTCGAGCGTCAGCGCGAACGCGGCTCAAGTCTATAAAACGAAAGTCCATAAAATGCTTAACGCAAAAATACAGTAAAATTAAAGAAAAAAAAAACAGCATTGCTAATCATGCGCTAAAAATAACGCCAACAACTTTTTTAAAAGCTCCGAAACACCAAAACAGAAAATATTAATTGCGAATTGTTGTTGCTTCGCGTATTATTATGTTTTGGTTAATTATGATTAATTATTGGTTTTAAGCCACACACACATTCACACACACGCTTACCATGCAAGTTGATTGTGCATGTCGTATTATTGCCACGATCCAATACGACAACACTGGTGGCTGCCACGGCAGCCGCTGTCGTGGCCATTTTGTTTCGGTGCAACGGTTCTTGAAGTTCACCCGCTATTTTCCTTTTGGTTGATAGCAACTGCAGCGCCCCCTATGGTCGATCACTATTAAGGTGTCTAACTCGATTTTTTCGAAGGAGCTTTGTTTGTAAATAAGTGTTTTTTGTGCTTGTTTGTACACAAATCACAGGGCTAGTGTGAGTTTGAAAATGTTCGTACTATATTTTAATTAATTATATATATGATATTCAAATTAATTGCGAAAAATGTATTCTGTAAAGCAGCCTAAAGCCGGAGCTGCTCACACACAAACACACATTCGCACAATACACGCAAAAGGCGGCCTCACAAACGCGCGCATTCACACACACATACGGAGCGCAACTCGAGTTTTTGTCAATGAATAAATACGTAAGGAAAAAACTCGTGCAAAAAACGTTCAAGCTCGAAGTAGCGTAGTCCGCACTTTAGTTGCTGCGCTCACAAACGACCGATTGAAACTAAAAGCTTGATTCACACAGCTGATGGGACCTGGCGCAAAGTTTACAAATTGAAACTGAAGAAGCTTAATTCTAACAGCTGATACAATCAGCTTATCGCTAATATCGATTGGCTCATAACCAAATGAAAAAGTATCGTAGCATCAGACTATCGATAAATTTTTGCATCGTTGTTTTCTTACATCACTAAAATAAGACTGCTTCTTCTTGAATACGTGAAATTTTTTTGGACAAAAAGAGCAAAGGGATTTTCTGTAATTTAGGGCGTACGCGACAATCAATCAAATCCACCATAACAAAAATGCCGAAGTTCTATAAACTTGACATTAATCGCACCGAATGGGAGATACCCGAAACGTACCAAAATCTGCAGTCCGTTGGACAAGGGGCATATGGCCAGGTGTGCAAGGCTTTGGTGCGAGGCACCACCACAAAGGTGGCTATAAAGAAATTAGCCCGCCCCTTTCAGTCAGCGGTGCATGCGAAGCGCACATACCGCGAGCTACGTCTGCTAAAGCACATGGATCACGAGAACGTTATTGGACTGCTAGACGTCTTCCATCCGGGCCAGCCAGCAGATTCGCTAGAGCAGTTTCAGCAGGTTTACATGGTGACGCATCTGATGGACGCCGATTTAAATAATATAATACGCACGCAGAAGTTGTCCGACGAGCATGTGCAGTTCTTGGTCTATCAGATATTGCGCGGGCTTAAGTATATACACAGCGCTGGCGTCATACATCGTGACCTGAAGCCATCCAATTTGGCTGTAAATGAAGATTGCGAACTGCGTATTTTAGATTTCGGTCTTGCGAGACCCGCTGAGAGCGAAATGACCGGGTATGTGGCCACACGATGGTATCGCGCTCCGGAAATCATGCTCAATTGGATGCACTACAATCAGACGGTGGACATTTGGTCTGTGGGCTGCATTATGGCAGAGCTTTTGACCGGTCGTACACTTTTCCCGGGCACCGATCACATACACCAGCTGAACCTGATCATGGAGATATTGGGCACGCCAAACGATGAGTTCATGAGCAAGATTTCATCGGAGAGCGCACGCACCTACATACGATCGTTGCCGGTGATGCCGCGCCGCAACTTCCGTGATATTTTTCGGGGTGCCAATCCGCTAGCTATTGAATTGCTTGAGAAGATGCTGGAGCTAGATGCGGAGAAGCGCATTACTGCTGAACAGGCGCTGGCACATCCCTATATGGAGAAATGGCATGATCCCAGCGATGAGGCGACATCAACACTGTACGATCAAAGTTTTGAGGAGAACGAGCTACCGGTGGAGAAATGGAAGGAGCTCGTGTTCACCGAAGTGCGTGACTTTAAACCGCCGCAGGCATTCGCCGACCTCTTGCCGCAGGCTCAATAGCTGACGATGTGTTTTTCAAATGACGGAGGCAGAGACGTCAAGTCTATGAACGATGCTACAAATTTAGTTATTAAAATATGAGAGTCCAATCGTATTCGTAATTTCATAACTGTTTCAAAAACAAGTCACAGCCTTAATGTCCAGTTCAACTTTTTGGTGTTGGTGTTTAACAATATATTAACATACTATTTATGTGTGTACAGTGAAAGCTCTCTTGGGCGGACAATTACGGTCAACTATGTTTGCTAAGATAAAAAATTACCAAATTCATTCATACTTTTTTTTTTTTTTAATTTTACATGATTTGTGTATGTTCAAGATAAATTAAAAGCAAAAAATAGCATGTCATCAGATAGTAGAGCTTTCACTGTATATACTTTTGAGTATTGATTGTATAAATGTAAATGTATGTATAATTATGTACAAGTCTTCAAAGTGCAGTAGATAGCTATATAGCCATAGAAGAGCACGAGCTCTGCATAAATAAAATATAATGCTATTGTATTTACAAAAGTGCAGTTCAAACCAAAACATCTTGAATTTGTAGTGGGAAAGATTTTTACTTTTACAATAATAGATCCTCCAAATAACGTTCGAATTCCTGTTCACGCGACGGTTGTTCCTTGGTCAGATCCAGCTGTTTGCTCCAAATGTCCTCGTCCACAGTTTCGTCGGGTTTCTCCGATGCAGTTTCACCGCTTGTGGCTGCATCGTCGTGTTGAAGCTCTTTTTCTTCCACTTGCTCACTCTCTTGATTCTTTTTATCCAGTTTGCGTTTCTTATGCTTCCGTTCGGATTTACGCTCGTCCTTTTCTCTGCGCCGCTGGCGTTTGTGCTCCCTTTTTTTCGTTCGGTAGTTTAGCTGCTCTGTATGCTCGGGACAAAGACGAACCTGCAGTAAATAATGATTAAGACTCACATTTTATAGCCACGAATTCACGAAATGTTATTGAATTGAATTTAAAATCGATATCTAATCTATATTACATAGTCGACGTAAAAACGATATAATTTTTGGTAGCACGAAGATAATTGTCCTGTGTTGTTTTTGCCTACCTTAACTAGTGCATTTTGCGGAACACTTTTCTCAATATATTTAAAGTTGACTTCCCAGCTTCGTAAACCCTCACGCTCGCCACAGTGCCGACTGCCGCACTGGAACTGACCCAGGCCGGTGACCACCTCCTCTTCGGTGCGCCACCGCAAAGCTATTTTATTTTCCTTGTAGCGCGTGAGATCGGCTATGCAATACTCTTTGAATAATTTTCGGTAATAGCGCAACGCCAAGCGCTGTTCCCAGCTCAGCGATTCATTATCAGCATCCTCTTCGTCCCAAAGGAAACGATGGTTTTCTCGGATGACATCAATATCACGTTTATGGTTGCGCGATTCATTTTCAGCAGCTGTGGGCAACACATATTGATTAAGAATATAATTGTGACGCTCCTTGGCCGTGAGCTTTTCTATATTAATGGGAAATATTGTAGTGCTGTTCATAATATTCCAAGATCACAACAAAAATGATTGTTGACAGACAAAAATACTAACAATGAGAAATAGCGATGGTTTGAGTTAAAATCGATAGGCAAACAACTAACCGATAGTCTGTAACAACTATAAAGTCACTAAAGAAGCACCAAAAGTCACTTTTAAATATCTACAGCGATATTAATCGATACTTTCGGACGTCTGCGTATCACTCCCTAGATTTGGCACTCCCTAAGCCTTAAATATATACAAAAGAAAGTTAAACTTTTCATATGAAAAAAGCTTAGTTTCCCACATTGGTGTTGGCGTCTTCACAGGACGACCAAATAATCCTCCCAAGCTAAAAGAATTTAGAGTAACCAAGTCCAAAAAAAATTAACAATGGCGTGTAGCTGTTCATTGTTTTATGTGTTTTGGCATAAGAATTTTCTATATTTGAGATACAACTGGATACCATTAAGCATCATATGTTTTTTATGGACAGCAGTACAATTCAGTTATTTACATTGGTCGAACAAGTCTAACTTCTACAAAAGCGAAGAGTTCGAAAGCAAAGATTATGTGAGTATTGATTATCAATTGTTTTATTTACTAATTATAACAATACTCTTTGTTTATAGGTTGCACTTAAAACATTGTACTTTCCCGGTAATGAGTTTGATTGGATATACTATGGGCCAAATACGAACAATGTGGGATTACTAATGGATCAAGTGCGGGAAGAATTAGAAATTCCATATGAACGTAAGATTAATCGCACCTCTATTATTTCAACAAATGTAATATTACACGATTTTCGAACATTTTTTAGGTATGCGAGAGTACAACAATAGCGTGGAAATGGAATTGGATATGCAACGGCAGTGCAAAGGAAGCTGTTTTGCCATACATTTTCAAGCATTGCCAGACCCGAGAAGTGGATGGGGATTAAAGTACAGCCTTTACTCAAATCAAATGCGAAACTCGCCAAACAAGCGCTTCGTAAATGACGAGGAAATGAATCATCTGAAGAGTGCGTATAAAGCTATGCAGCATCTATGTTTATTATTCACACCATGTCATTAACACTTTTGCAGATGACGATGAGTATATTCGTGAGGGGTTTCTTACTCTTCAGTATGTTATTGACCGTCAGTTTTTGCGCTATCAGCAAATTATTGGCAACTATGCGCTGCTGTTGAATGTTATACCGAATCTGGAGGTTGGCAACTCGGACAGCTCTCGTTTGATTAATTTCGGCACATTATTTAGCATATTATTTAGTATAATGCTGTTGAGCACATTTCTGGTGCCCTTCGTCGAAGAGAAACAGAATGGTCTAAAGGAGTTTCTGAATCTGGTCACCCCCATGAGCTTTTTGAATGGCCTCACATTTTTCCTTATACGTATTGTTTTCTATGCAACATTCCTGATGTTTAACCTAATTATCGCCTGGCAGTATGGCGCCTTAGGACTGATTCCCTTTATTTATATATATACCTTGTATTTATTGTACATTATTGCAAATATGTCGTATGCCTATTTAATATCAGTCTGCTTTTCTTCAGGTAAGCTTCGCTTTTTTATATGTGCTTGGTTCTTCTCATTTATATTTATATTTTATCTTGCAGTGTTTTACGCAAAAATCGGTGGACTTATTTTGCTCGTTATCCCCTATGTGTTTAGTATTGTACGCAGCTTGCTTACTAATATAGCATTTTTCCTGTTTTGCACCAATTCATTTTTGGAAGCCCTGGATGTGCTGCAGACCTTCTGCAATAAACGTAAGTTAGGGTTATATTACCTTGCGGATGTTTTTTTTTTTTTTTTTTTAGTAGTCACAGACTCTGTAACCATAATTACCAGTACGGTTTCATTTGCCTCACAGCAAAACTGAATAATTTCGCATGCAAAAACCAATTCTTCGACTGATTCTTCCTGTACAGCTATGTAATATAGTATTCCTCATATATAAGCAGCATAGTTCAAGTTAGTTAATTGCCAGGTCAAGATATCTTAAGTTTTTCATAAAAGAATCTACTTTACGACCGATTGCTGTGGTTGCTGTGGCAGCTATCTGATATATTGATACAATCCGTCCGTTTACAACATAAAACTGCCTGCATAAAAGTAGAGAGACTTGGAAGGCTATATCACCTCGGCTGTTGATGCCCCATCAAGAATATATAAACTGTATGGGATCGGAAATATTTCTTTCTGTGCGTTACACATTTCATGACAAAATTGAAATACCTTCTTCAAGGAAATATAAACTTTAACTATATTTTTTCAAATTTTATTTAATGTTTTTCTGGAGGGAGACTAAATCTTAAAGAATACAATCCCAAACATTTTTTTTTCGCACATTTATGAGATACAACTAAAAGTGGAAGAGGATTTAACCTTTGACAATCAATTAAATACTTGATTCACATTAAAATCTCTTACAGATCGCGACTTTTCAGGCGCAGATTTATTTCGAGTTATTAAAGATGACTCCAGCCGTATCTTTACTGTTTATGTTGTGCTTATCTGTCAGACCGTTTTTTACGCCTTGCTTTACAACTATTTGGTGTGCGTATTTCCCGGACCTGGCGGTCTCAAGCGTCCATTCTTATTTATCCTAAATGTAAGTTCCTATCCTGGCTGTACTAGCTATGCTGCCATAAATATAACAAATTTCCTGTCATGTTCAGCCCGATACATATAAAAAGCGTCAGCGCAATGAATATACGACATCGCCGCGTGGCACCCACGCAATCATCATCAGTGATCTGTGCAAGAAATTCCAGACGAGCAAACGCGAAACCCACATTGCTGATCACTTAAATATGACAATCAACAACAAGGAGATCACTGTACTGCTGGGCCATAACGGTGCCGGAAAGACAACTATGATGAACATGATTATGGGTAAGTTAGCTTGCGGTCATGTGTTTGCAATGTCACATAACAAAATGTATAGTCCTGATCAAATGCCTATTGTAATTGTGATAGAGAAAACGCGCTAATAGTGTTACTTCCCCCCTTTTCTTTTTAATTGTACAGGCATTGTACCTAAGGATGCGGGCAAGATTGTTGTTTGCAGCGAGCGTGATGTTGCCTCGTATCGCCACCTAATCGGATTCTGTCCACAGCATAGCGTCTTCATGAGCTACATGACATGTCAGCAACATTTGGAATTTTTCGCACAGCTGCGCGGCGCCAAGCTCTCCGACGCACGCAACTGGGCAGAATTAAAGCTACGCAAGCTGAACCTTAAAGACAAGGCCAATGAATATGGTCGCAATTTATCAGGCGGCATGAAGAGGCGCCTTTCGCTGGGAATCGCAATAGCTGGGAATACCAAGTTAGTAACTGTTAATAGCTAATGTTTTAACAAGAAATAGCTGGTACACATACATTTGTAGCTATAACTGTTATATCGTTTATTCTAAGGATTGCATCCTTTTAAGTTAGGGCTATTCACGGTAAAAACATAGTTATACGTTAGTAGCAACTATTTATCTTTAATATGCCAGCAGTTATTTATCTGGTATACTGCAACTGTTGTTCTGTCAGACTGATTAATTTTGTACTTACAGAATTGTTATCCTAGACGAACCATCCTCCGGCCTGGACATTGAATCACGTCGAGAACTTTGGGACATTTTGCTGGAGCTGCGCAAAGAGAAGGCAATTTTAGTGACCACCCATTATATGGAAGAGGCCGAGGTGCTGGGCGATACCATCTGCATACTGGCCAACGGCAAGCTGCAGGCGATCGGCTCGCCGCTCGAACTTAAACGTAAATCGGGCAGTGGCTATCGCCTAAAGCTGCAGGCCCATGAGACGCTGTTTCTGAAAGAAGAAACAATGAAAGAGATATTCAAATTTATACCGACTGCTAAAGAGGAGGTTATTAATTGATGATAATATTTTTGTTTTTGTTATCTTAACACTCATTATCGATTCTTTTGCACACAGAATTATGTAAAGCCCACGCTTTATATATGCCTACCATATGACTATCGCCTGCAATTCCATGACATGTTACGAAACTTAGAAAAAAATCAGTATAAACT